ATATTAATTATTATGATTTTTAATTATGGTATTGTATACAAATTGTAACAGTTATGTAAGATATCGCGATTCGTAATTTGTAATATGTTACGATTCTAAATTTGTGATAGGCAAGAACTAAAACAGGGCAATTGAAGACTCACACCAAGGAGCTCAAACAGTGTGTCATGCGCTTGATCCATCGAAGCTTAGTATGCCTTGGAGATTTGAGTAGGTACAAATTAGAATTAAATTCAAATTGGGATCCAATGATAGCAAACAGGTATTATAAGATGGCTATAGCCATTGATCCAAATATTGGTATGCCTCACAATCAGCTTGGTACTATAGCAGGCAATAAAAATTATGGATTAGATGCAGTCTATCATTACATGAGAAGGTTAGTGTCAGTAATAGTTTAATTTTAAAAAGTTATCCAATGATAAATGTTAAATACATTTTCTTATAATAAATTGTATCCTAGTAATTTAATTTTCTTTTTATTAATATGTAAACATTTTTTAATTAATACTAATTATAATTTTGATTTTTTTGCAGCGTTTTGTGTCCTGAGCCATTTGAAGGAGCAGAAGGAAATTTAAAGAAAATTGTAGTAACTCAGTCAACCTATACAGATGAAAGCAATTCTGTCCATCATTGTGTATCGCGATTGTTTTCTTTGTTACGTTTATGGGATTATGAAAACCCAAATTTTGATAAAATAAATCAAGAATGCCAGGTATTTAATTAATGTTAAGATATTTATAGATATTTGAATTTTACATAAACATTTTACAATTTGTGATGGTGGCTAATATTTTTTCAATAGGATCTCTTGAACGATATAGAGAAGTGTTTAACAATGGATCAAATCGAGCCAAATAATACAAATTCTCTCGAAAATATTGATAACATAGAAACATATCTTCAAAATTGTAAAAACAGACCAACGCTTTATTTAACAGATGATATGGTGTTTAAGATCGTGACAATATGCTTAATGTCAATTTCTAGATTAAAGACTAAAGAATCCAACGAAGTACAGGGCGTTGTTGCTATAACTTTAGCGATACTATCACAATTATTAGAATTTATAATAAGAAAACTGCAAGAAATGGTCATAGAAATTGCAGTGCCTGATGTAGAAGCCACTGTGAAGGGAAATACTTATTGTTCCAAATTAAAAAATGCAC